ATCCTTAAAGAAAATCAAATATTGGAATCCTTGAATGCAAGAGATTTTGGCCAGTTTTGTTGACCTAAATTGTTCATTACATATGCTTGAATCAAAACCTAATGACCTGACACTGAAAAGCTGCGCAAGAATACCATACAAGCTTGAAAATTTTCCATAAAAACTCAATTCTGAAAAGCATTCTAGAGGACGATTCAAGCCCTAAAACTTGGTTCAATAGCTTCCTTGTGATCTCTTGAACGTATTCCAATTCATAACCCTCATCAAAAGGCAAGGAACCAGTGTACAGAACTCAAGAAATTCCATGAAAATTCCAAAATCGTATTCTATATTCTATGCACTCTCATGACATTTCATTGATTAATTCTTATTCCTGACATGATTTCAAAGCTAACCCATAACTTTAATTTGATTATTATGCGTTGTAGGCGATTTTGCCATTGTTAAAATTTAGGGTTGCAGGTTTTCTGAATTAGGGCTTTTGCATAGAGGAAAAATTAGGACTCATGAATGCCATGGTTGTATACAGTAGGTCTGGACGAAGAAGACACAAGCCTCGCGATCAATTTATCGATGTCACAGCGCTAGTCGCTATTTTTCATAAACCTGCCTAACACAACGCGTTGAAACCGTTGCCTATATGTTTTGTTTACAGGGACCACGAAGACGATGATAGCGTGGCACAAGCGGATTGGGGAATTTGAAAACGCGCGCGCCGAATCATTAATGTCTTGCTTGTTCTTTTTATTATTTAATAACCATTATATATTAATTGAAACTTAGTGGCTCAGCTGGCAGGGATACACGCTTGTGACTCTCATGACCTGGGTTCAAACCCCAGGTCTCACATATTTCTCATATTATTTTTCAACGTGAATTCCCATGCAGCGCTATCATTGATGCCCACCATACGCCTCAAAGCCTGATCGTCCACGCGTCCCACCAATCCAAATCTATGGCCAAGATTCAAAGAACACGTATACAATGGTCAACGCATTAGCACACAATCTGGGAAAGTCAGTGAATTTCAATGCTTAATGGGCCTGATTTGCTGAACCTTACCTCCAATTTTGGGACTACACCCCCACCCTGGTTTGCTAGTTTTATTTATTTTTCTTATTTATTCTCAATTATTATTTTATTTGTTTTGTTGTTTTAATCCAATAATTATTTTTTTACAAAATATAAAAAACATCATAAAAATCAGAAAAGTCAAAAAATTTAATAATTATTTTATTTTAAATATTTTTTATGAATAATTGCATGTAAATATTTAGTTTTAATTAGGTTGCAACTTTAATCCTTTTTAACAAAAATACAAAAAATGTAGAATTAGGTCAATTAACAATCTTGATTCCTTTTAATATTTTTCCCCTTTTTCACAATAATAATTATTTATTTATTTATTTTTTATTTATAATTAAATTTGTACATAAATAAATTAGGGTTTAAATTAGGTTAAATTTCAATATCTTTCATAATAAATTAAAAAACATCAGAATTAGGGTTTAGCATTTTATTTTTAATTTCAATAAATTCTTTTTCTTTTAAATCTTAAAAAACATAAAATACCAAAAACATTTAATTTTCATTTTTATTTTAATTCCTTATTAAATTTAATCTTTTGCAAAAAAGGGTCCAACGCCCATTGTTTTTAATTATTTAATTTGCGCATTTATTTTATGTCATTTATTATAATTATGTAATTCTCCCAAAGCATTGTAATTTAAATTTCTCGCACTTGTATTCGCTTTATTTATTTTTTCAGTCAAATCGGGTCCGGTTTAATTTTGGCGATGTGGACCCGCGCCATTTGTAATAGCCTTAGATTTATTTTTCGCAAACTTTATAACTGTTAAATATGCATGCAAGAATGAATGGATCAAAGTAAAATCAAGCGTAGAGCACAAATAAACATGACAAGACAAATAACTGAAACATGACACACGAATCGCACACACCACCCCTAGGGTACGCCTCACTGTTGCCTTGCCTCGAAAGGTGATCGTCGAGTAGAGGATGTCTTAGTAAGTCCTCATGATCCGGGAACCTGGCATGAGGGTAGCTTCTAAGGTGTCTTCCCATTGCTCTGGTGATCATCATGTCCCTAAAACTCGAATTGACCCGAACACCTCCAACGGTGGTGCTACCTACCTCTCAATGGTGGGATGGCACTACTTTAAAGGACTCTTACACAGACGAATTCCTTAGGGTAGGTAGGTTCTCAAGGATACTTGCTCTAATCTCAAAACAAACTCAAAAAGACTTTTCACACTGACACTTTTCAAAAAGCTTTCAAAGCAAATTTTTCAAACACTCTGACGTATGAGTCGATCTGAAATTTTTCAAAGAACTTTTTAAAACCCACATTGAAAAGCAAGCAAACATTTTTGAAAACACATTGAGCAAGTATCTAAGAGCCCATGGATAACCATGGATAGAAAGGGTGCTAACACCTTCCCTTTCTATAACCTACCTCCCGAACCGAGAACTATCTCATAAGGAATTTTGCTGTGCTTTTGTCCTGTCCATGTTGGAGAAAATAAAAGACGGTGGCGACTCTTGCTTCCGCGACATTTCGCGAACCAGCGTTAAACAGTCAGTTCCAGATCCACCGATCACATATACCCATACCTTTCTGGAATGATCATCAATAAAAGTCACGAAGTATTTCTTCCCACCAATAGATGAGACGGTAGTTAGATCCCAAACATCAGAGTGAATAAGCTCAAGCCTTTCCTTCTTTGGGGTTCTCCCATTTGTCTGAAAGCTGACTCTCTTCTGCTTTCCAAGTATACAGTCTTCACACATGTCAATTTCTATTGACTTAAGACCTGGTAGTTTTCCTTTTGAGTGCATAATCTTCATCCCTTTCTCACTCATATGGCCCAATCTCTGGTGCCATAGATTGGGACTTTCATTTGTCGCAACTGTAATCAAGTGACATGCTCCCGCTGTCTTGTAAAGAGTACCATTCTTTTTACCGCGAGCAACTGTCATTGCACCCTTTGAAATCTTCCATTGATCACCATGAAAAACTGTTGTGTAGCCTTCACTAGCCAACTGGCCTACTGAGATTAAGTTCTTTGTTAGGTCGGAAATATGTCTTACATTTTTCAATTCCCATTCAGACCCACCTAACTTAATCTTCACTACACCTTTACTTGTAATCTCACATGATTGCTCATTACCGAGGTAAACTTTACCGAGGTTTCCAGAGACATAATTATTAAAGAATTCTTTCTGGGAAGTGGCATGGAAGGATGCTCCAGAGTCTAACACCCAAGACTCTTCCTTATTCTCCAAAGAGCATATCAACGCGTCTTCTCCTCTTGAAGTGGAAGCAACATTTGCTTCATCCTTTACCTCTTGATTCTTTGGTGGGAGTCTACATTGATTTTTGTAATGCCCTTTCTTTCCACATTTCCAACATTCGATAGTCTTCGAATTATTGAAACTACGATGGTTTCTGGATTTGGATCATCGGTCCTTTGATTTACCACGTCCATATCCCCTGGTTGAATTTCTTCCTCTTTCCTTTGTATGTAATACTGAAGAGGATGATGATTCACCCAACTCTCTTCGCCTGATCTCTTCACTGAGAACCAGATCACGAAGATCATCAAATTTCATCTTTGTACTTCCTGACGAGCTACTCACTGCCATGACAGTAGCACTCCAACTATCTGGTAACGAAGACAAAAGTATCAATGCTCGTACTTCATCGTCAAACTCAATTCCAACTGAACTCAATTGGGTTGTTACAATATTGAGTTCATTGATATGTTGTGCAATTGAAGTGTCTTCTGTCATCCGAAGTGTAAATATTCGTCTCATCAAATGAACTTTATTTGATGCTGAAGGCTTTTCATACATGCTTGAAAGAGCCTTCAAAAGACCAGCGGTTGTCTTCTCCTTCGCAATGTTAAAAGCAATATTTCGAGATAACGACAATCGAATAACACCAGGTGCTTGCCTATCGAGAAGGTTCCACTCATCTTCCTTCATCGAATCTGGCTTCGCTTCCATGAGAGGTTGATGTAGCTTTTTCTGATATAGATAATCTTCAATCTGCATCTTCCAAAAGCTAAAGTCCACACCATCGAACTTTTCAATGTTCATTTTTCCTTCGTCTGCAGCCATCACTCCCACTTAAATCTGACTTCCTCAGGATCGTCTCTAAAAATTTCTTTACTAGAAAAAATTAGAAAAAATCAACCAACTGGCTCTGATACCCGTTGTTAGGAAACTACGCAAAATTTCCCCATATTATCAGATTTGTGAAAGAACAAAATAATGCGGAAGCACACAAACTTAATGAAAATGAAATCTATAAATTCATTAACCCCTCCTCACATGAAAATTTCACAACTCAATTACACTAAAAGAATTTATTGAAATTATGTTCTGATGATTACAAATGAAAGATACAATAAGAAAAACATGATAAATGAGTAATTATAAAATGATAAAAGACCCAATAAGATCTAGAATGTGTTGGCGATTTTGTATCACCAATGTATTTTAGTAGTAATGTGATTTCTAAAGGCCGATGCAATTATGCGTTAAATTCGGAGACGAGTTAGGGAAGTGCGGAGTGCACGCTCGTCGAGCCAATGCATAATTGAATACGAATAATTGAAACGGGGTTCCAAGGGGCGAAGCCCCTGGCGGGGTGCGGGGCAGCGCCCCAACGGACATAACTGTTTCCCAACGGACATAACTGTTTCCCAACGGACATAACTGTTTCGAACAAATGTGTCTCTTCGTTTTCAATTACTGGTCTCCTATATAAGGAGTCGTTCGGTCTCGGTCTCGCATACAGGAAAAACGCATCCTTCTCTCTATAATTACAATTCGTTTTCTTTTGTCGGAAACAGAATTTCTTCGAAAATTATCCCCACAAAGATTTCGTGAACCCAGACAAGAATAGGGTCGAAATACTTTGTTCGGAAAGTGTACGAACACGATTCATCGAAGTTATCCAGGATTATCACACCCTAAATTTCTAACAGAATGATATCACAAAAAAAAAAAGGAGGAATGAAAGACAATTGTGTGAGAAAGACAATTTCTATAAATGCTATTAAAGTACTGCATATATTTACAATCAAGTTGTTCACAATACTATGTCCTAACATTTTTCTGAGTCTGAAATGTACCAACATGCGTGGTTTCCGTGGTTTTCTTTTATCTACGAAAACACAACTACAAGATGTTTCGAGTAACTGGAGAAGATAAGATTTTGTAAATTGATAATGTACCGTTGTGTGTGCTTTCCGTGGTTTCCTTTTATATACGGAAACACAACTACAATATGTTCTGCAGAATTGGAGAAGATAAGATTTTGTAAATCGGTACATCTTTCTCATCAAGTATAGTATAATTATGAGTCTTCAAAAAATATTCTGTCTGTTCTAAGTTTACTCTTTACAGCATCTATCTCCTTCATTTGTTTCTGTAAAAAAAAAAGCAGAGTAAGTTAAAAGCAGATTAAGTTAAACCATCTAGACAGGTCAAAAAGAAGTTTGACAACAAGATTGAGAATGATTCATTAGCAACAAAAAAAAATACTCTACCTCACATAAGGCCTTCCAACATGCCTCGGACTTGTCATATTGATGTGCCCATTCAATAGCCATTGCGTATTCAATTGTATTGGGCTGTGAACAATGTGATGTTGATACAGCATTTCTCTATAAAAAGCAAAGAACACATTGTAAATCGTATTTTCTAGTGTGTAATAAAACAAATCGATCAGCAAGTTTTGTTAGATTACCATCTCTCGGCTTTGCTTGTGAAGGGCGGCTCTACTAAGAGTCAGATGGCCAGGGAATGTGCTTTGCTTGACTGGATCTCTTACAGTTCCCTTCCTGGCAGTCACAACCCTGCAGGAAACTTAGAAACATTATATACGTAGAACAATGTATCACAATGTTTAAATGCTGTAAAAAAAACAATTAGAGCCAGTCTAATATTTACTAGATGTTGTTACTTTCTTTCCGTGGCCAAAGGAAGAATACATATGGTTTGTTATTCAATACTTCCTCTATAATCAACTACAGAATGTTACATGGTTACACACTTGGTCTCAGTGCAAAATCATTGTTTCTGATTTTATTTTGTTAAAACCAAATTGTGAAAAAATCAAATTGAAGTTACAGAAGTATTATTCCATGATGACTTCAAATCTGAAATAGAATATCTTATGTGGTTTGCATCTACCTTAATATTTAAAGTTCTCTGACTTGGAAACAATGATTAGAATACTAATAGTATGGTAAAAACGTTAAGCTTACAAGCTCGACACAAGGCTATGGGATAACACCTTAACATTGATTTGAATCTCTATTATCAATAAGCTGAGTTATCATTCATGTACAAACCGTAAGCATATGCTGACAAAATGTCCATATTTGCTAGGTTTTCAGCTTTGTAATATGATATTTTTGAAGCAGTGGATTCAGATTTAACACAGTAACTGTGTGATGTGGTTATTGATCTTGGTAGTCCAATCTCAAATTAATGGGGAAGATTATTTAAAAGACTATTTAGTGAAGGTGTAATATGAGTTGGTCGGCTGATCTCAAATGATTCATCAGATCAATTAGTGTATAACAGAAGAAAAAAAAAACTCAACATGAAAAGCAAAGCAATAAATGAAATACCTCCCATCTTCAAGAACAAGGCATTTCCTGGTCAACTCGAATATTGCATGTGCAGCTGCATCTTTTGTTTTGAAAATAACCAATGCTCTACCTGTCGGTAAATGAGAAAACAAAATCAATTGATGATTTAACAAAAACTATCATATAGTACCAGTAGTAAATTTGATGTTTTTTATCATAACAATGAAAACCCAACAATAAAAATAAAGCAAGAAATCTATAACTACCATAGTATGTATTGGAAGTCGGGGTCGACTCTATCATCCTTGCCTCAACCTTTTCTTTGAGTGCATGCCAAACAAGATCCTTAACAGTCAGTGAAGAAAAAGTAGATAAGAAACCAGACAATTAGACAGATAAGAATTCACACATAACATAACACAATTCCTGAACTATATTAGCACATGGACTATATCGGCCTTCAACTGATTGTCGAAACAGGAGAAAAAGTTGAGTCCTACATACCTCAACTTTAAAGGACGTGTAGGATGGATCCAGATTATTCAGTAAAACAAGGGTATCCAACTCTTGAGCTTTCTGTAGTCTTCCTTCCCAAGGCTACAAACAAAATTATCATAAATAAAACAAGCATGACAATCACTTCATGCGTATGTATAAACATTCTACTTTGAGCAAACATGGTTGGAAGCAGAGATAAACATAGGAATCAATACAATGTTCATTGAACAAGAAATTCATTTTGTTTTGTTATGCAATATACTCCTTGTTTGCAATGCATAATTAGAACTCCTCACTAATTTTCAAATCCAAATAGGGTTAAATAAAATAATGATCCAAGCATTTCACATGGAAAGTTAATTTCTCATAAAAGATAATATGCCAAACACCTGATAATGTCAACCAAAATCCAGTAAAAGAAGTAAAAATATTCTTATGCTTGTAAAACAAGAAAACACATGGAATAGTGCAGATGATAGTTATAGGTAAAGACAAACACAACCTGCTTAATATAGCTTAGTTATAATCATCAAATAGAAAAAAAATCAACAGCACGTGTAAAATATAAATGAAACTAAAAAGCTTAGAGAAAATGTTAATTTCTTTAGATGCTAGACGAAGAAAATTACAGAGTGTGAAAATTACAAACACAATTTACACATTATATTAATTTTTTGATACAGCTACAAGCTCTTTTCTCTTTTATCCAAATAGCAAAAAAAAAAAAATTTGTTACTAATAAATTCATGCTATTGATCAAAACCTGAACCAAGAGTCCACAATCAAAATAAAGAAATAAAAACTCACCATATTTTTAAACCACTTTCTTTTCTCCTGCAACAATAAAAATGTGAGTTAGTAAAGGATTAGAGCGGTGGCAAGAGGCTAGAGTCATATCTATATTATATTTGAAACCACATTTACAAGTTAAAATTGTTAATGTTTTTTTGCTACCACCAACATTCCCAATCTTTTTGCTTAAGAACTCATGTTATAAATTTAAGTCATTTATCCAGTGAAGAAAGAATAATTTGAAATCATGAATATATAATGATGATAAAACTTCAGTAGTTTAAAAATATTGGCTCTGATGAATTTCTAAATGCAGCAAAACTAGCAGATAAACTATAATGTATCCAATTCATTCATCTTATCTAGGAAGCTAGGATTATTGTTTGATGAAAGCAATAAATTCTGTACAAAATCAATGAAACCAAGCAAAACTACAAGTAATGATTTTGAGACTTACTGCATTTGGCCTTTCAGTCACCTCAGTAACTTTCCTGTTTGGGTTGACACTTGCATCCTGTCTAAATTCTTCCTTCCTGTCAAATACCTCTTTCTTTTGGGATTTGTTAATTTGACCAATGACTGACTTCTCTTCCGTGAACTTCCTCTTTTTAGATGGATAAGAATCTAATAATATCTTTGACGAGACATTCTCCGAAATTCTCATTTCATCTTTAGCTTTAACTTTCAAACGCAACATATCAAAAGGAGCAATCTTAGTCCTAACCTCATCTTTATCTTTAAAAATTTTAGAACCTCCTATCTTTATCTTTGGCTGGACATTCTCAGAAGTTCTCAATTGATTTTTATCTTCAAATTTCCAATGCAAGCTATCAGAAGGAACAATCTTAATCTTAGCTCCATCTTTATATCTAAAGTTCTTGGAAGTTATCTTTATTTTTGATGAGACATTCTCAGAGGTTCTCAATTCATCTTTATCTTCAACTTTCCTACACAGCATATCAGAAGGAGCAGTCTTAAACTCGGCTTCATTTTTATCTCTAAAATTCTCGGAAGTTCTCAGTTCATCTTTAACTTCAACTTTCCTACACAACATATCAGAAGGAGCAGTCTTAATATTGGCTTCATTTTCATCTCTAAAATTCTCAGAAGTCCTCATCATTGTCTTTGGCGAGACATTCTTAGAAGTTCTCAGTTCATCTTTAACTTCAACTTTCCTACACAACATATCAGAAGGAGCAGTCTTAATATTGGCTTCATTTTCATCTCTAAAATTCTCAGAAGTCCTCATCATTGTCTTTGGCGAGACATTCTTAGAAGTTCTCAGTTCATCTTTAACTTCAACTTTCCTACACAACATATCAGAAGGAGCAGTCTTAATATTGGCTTCATTTTTATCTCTAAAATTCTCAGAAGTCTTCATCATTGTCTTTGGCGAGACATTCTTAGAAGTTCTCAGTTCATCTTTAACTTCAACTTTCCTACACAACATATCAGAAGGAGCAGTCTTAATATTGGCTTCATTTTTATGTCTAAAATTTTCAGAAGTCCTCATCATTGTCTTTGGCGAGACATTCTTAGAAGTTCTCAGTTCATCTTTATCTTCAACTTTCGAACACAACATATCAGAAGGAGCAGTCTTAATATTGGCTTCATTTTCATCTCTAAAATTCTCAGATGCCCTTATCAGTGTCTTTGGCGAGACATTCTTAGAAGTTCTCAATTCATCTTTATCTTCAACTTTCCGATGCAAGGTATTAGAAGGAGCACTCTTGGTTCTAGCCTCACCTATTACTTCACTTTTATCTTTAACATTCACAGAAATTCTCTTCTTTATCTTTATCTTCTTTATCACTCTAGGAATTTTATTTGTCTCAAGATGCAGATTATCCCCTTTCTTATTAAAGAACTGCTCCACTGCAAAACACCGACATGGAATGTAGTTAATGGGAACAACAAACTGCCATCATGTGCACCATATGAACAGGTCAAATAGTTACTATATGTGGTGTGTCCAATTTAATCAATGAAGTTAGCGGGCTAAAAAATGCAAAACATTGATAACTGACCTTCAATTCCATTAATCGTATCAGGAAATTTATCATCGATGACACACCTATCAACATTGAAAGTACATTTGAAATAGAAATCTGCTTTCTTTCGCTCTGTTTCAGATGGTTTGGGATTTCTCTTATCCTCTGAAGTGCATACAACACTGCATTTTCCAATAATTGACTCCTGAAAACAGAAATCTCAATGGACGAAAGAGAAACTTTGTGTGAAACGACAAACTCACTTTTCAAACACAAAATTTGACATACTAGTTCTACAAAACTACCATTAAGGAGAAGAAGCATTTGATTTTCCCATAAGAGGGCATCAAAAATTGTTAGCTAAAATTCTATTTACATCAACTTGCATAAACACCCTTACATCTTCAGCTCTCGGAAATACAAATTGCTTAACAAATGTTTAATCTCCCATTTCACAAAAATAGCTTTTCAAGTGCTCATCACATGCATTCAATCTATTTTCATCACAAACATGGAGACCCCACACTAAACTAAAATCGAGACAAACTGAATCTTCAACTAGAGTACAAAAATGACATGATGACAATAATAGAAAAAAAGAAAAAGAATGAAGTAAAAAATTACCAATAAATTGCAATTGGAAACACCATTTCCAGTCCCAGAAGCCAAAAACAACTCATTCCAAAAAGGGTGATGAGTCCCATGGAAATTCCGAATTTCCAAAGGGCGAAAAAACCAAACAGCTTCAACCATCTTCCTACCATCTCTCTCAAACATCTTCACAAGCTTACCAATAGAAGTCTCGAGATGATCAGTGTGGTAAAAATAAACAGAATCGTATAGAAAATACTCAACGCCGTCGTAAACAAACGATTCATACAACACTGTATCTTTGTTTCCAACATCAATCGCTTGTTTCTTCCCCCATTTGAAGTCTCCAACATCTTCTTCCTCACAACAAGGGTTCGATGAAGGTGGCATTTCGACAAAAATGAATTAACAAAACGTACTATAAATCATGAGGATTATGAAATTATGATACAGAGTTTAGAAAGCTAGATTGAAAAGAGAGAAGGTGAAAAAGAAACGACAGCTACATTGTCGTTTTGGTACGGAGAAGCATGCATGAGAGAGTGGAGTGAAAATAGCATGGTTCAAGTGATGGTGTAACGAAATGAAATGGAAATGAAGTTGAAATGAAGTTGAAATGAAACTGAATCGTACACACATGCAGAAACGCGTTTCTTCACGTTTCTGGTTTTGGTTACAATGCTGCTTGCATTTCATTATTTGTCACGTTCTAGTTTTATTGCTAAAACTGGCTTCTTATGTATCATACCTTCTTTTTAATATTCTATACTATTTAAATTATAAGGGCTCATCAAATAAAAATCACAAACACTACACTATCACAAAATTGAAAACCAAACCAACACTGAGCCTTAATTATTCACAAAATCTCTTAAAGTTAACTTTAAGTTTCATTTTAGTCTCTTATTTATAAATGTTATATTTTGGTCTCTTAAAAATAATTTTGTTTGTCAAATTAGTCATTTCTATTAAATGTTAACAAAAAAAGTTAAGTTGAAATGATGTGGAATATCAGCATGGTAATAGTCAAAATACTGAGTCAATAATTTAGTTAAAGGATTAAATTAAAACCTTATAGTTAGTTAGGGGATCAGATAAGAAAAGTAATAAAACTGTGATTAAAGTGATCATACCAAAATTTCATAATATTTTCAGACAATAACGTGTTAGTTATCCGACCAGAATTTTATATTAACATAATTGTTAAAGTTATTTCCATGGATGACATAGATGAATCTTTGAAGAAGAAGAAGAGAGTGTAACAGAATTGTAACAGAAAAGTATAACAGAAAAAGAATAGGAAGAGATAAGGTTGATCACAAAATTGGATTCTATTATTTCACTTTTTGGATAAGAATATAAGTGGTAATACAATGGATATATATACACTATTAGATCTAATAACAGCCCTTAGATCTAATTAAACTAAAACCACTAATATTTCAACAGCCTCCCTCAAGCTGAGCATTGTAAATGTCAATCATGCTCAGTTTGGATATGAAAGAATTAAACTTTGGAGCAGCTAAAGCTTTTGTTAAGAAGTCTGCCAATTGTTCTTGTGAAGAGATTGGTAAGAGTCTAAGAACACCTTGCTGTACTTTTTCTCTAACCAAATGACAGTCAATGTCTAAATGCTTGGTCCTCTCATGAAAAACCGGATTAGAGGCAATATGAATTGCACTCTGACTGTCACAGTAAAGCACTGGTTGTCGTGTAGGTGTGATTTGCAAATCTCTGAACAAATGAAGTAACCACTGCAGTTCACAAGTTGCTGTTGAGAGGGCTCTATATTCAGCTTCAGATGAAGATCTGGAAACCGTCTGCTGTTTCTTGGCGCGCCATGAAATTAATGAGGAACCAAGAAAGAAACAATAACCAGAAATGGACTTGCGAGAATCTATGCACCCTGCCCAGTCAGAGTCAGAATATCCTAGAAGTTGTACTTCAGAATCACGAGGAAATAATAGTCCTCTTCCAGGATTATGCTTAAGGTACCTGATTACACGGCATGCTGCATTAAAATGAGTTGTAGTGGGAGTATGTAAGAACTGACTTAATTGTTGAGTAGCAAATGTAATATCCGACCTTGTTGTGTTAAGATACAACAATCTACCAATAAGTCTCCTGTATGCAGCTACATCCTCAAAGGGCTTGCCACTATCTTGATGTAACTTTATTGAAGGGTCAAGAGGAGTTGCTGCAGGTTTTGATCCTAATAAGCCAGAGTCATTAAGAAGATCCAGGCAGTATTTTCTTTGAGAAATAGCTATCCCTGATTTAGAATGTGCCACTTCTATACCCAGAAAATATTTGAGAACTCCTAGATCTTTAATCTTGAAATGACTGTCAAGTGTATTTTTGATCCTTTGGAACTCACTAAGAGAAGTACCAGCCAGGATGATATCATCCACATAAACCAAAAGAGTTGTGAAATCAGTTGCAGTTCTTAATGTAAAAAGAGAATAATCAGCTGTAGACTGTGTGTAGCCTTCCTGGACCAAAAGTGAGGTCAACTTCTCATACCACTTTCTGCTTGATTGTCTAAGACCATAGATGCTCTTAAGTAACTTACAAACCTGATTAGGTTTGGTACAAGTAACTCCATCAGGTATAGTCATATAGACATCCTCTTGCAAATCTCCATGTAAAAATGCATTATTGACATCTAACTGGTGTAGGTTCCAATTGTAAGCAGATGTCAATGCAAGTAACATTCTGACAGTGGTAAGCTTAGCTACAGGACTAAAACAATCAAAGAAATCAAGGCCCTCAATCTGATTGTAACCTTTAGCTACTAATCGTGCCTTGTACCTTTCTATGGAACCATCAGCTTTGTGTTTGATTTTGAAAACCCATCTATTGCCTATAGGCTTGACATGAGGAGGAGTATCAACTATAATCCAGGTGCCAAGATTTTCAAGAGCATTCAGTTCAGATTTGATAGCAGATAACCAATGTTCAGATAAACTAGCTTCTTTATAAGTTTTAGGTGCAACATTATTGGTGAGTGAAATAGAAAAGGCATGTTGAGAAGGAGATAAATGTGAGTAAGAATGGAAATGAGTGATAGGATATAGAGTACCTGAGGATGTTGGTTCTTTTGAATCATGAGCAGCATTGCATACATAATCTGCTGAATAAGAAGGGGTTTGTTTTTGTCTGATGGGTTTGGAATATTGATTTGTCTGCTGGTTAGAAGGATGTACAGTGGGGGAAGGGCAGGATAAAGGTTCATGAGTAGGTGTGATATGAGGGACAGGGCTGCTAGGTAGTTCAGTTTTAGCAGATACAAGAACAGGGCTAGGTAGTTCTGTTTCAGCAGATACAGGAACAGGGCTAGGTGGTTCAGTTTCAGTAGATACAAGAACAGGGCTAGGTGGTTCAGATGTTGGTATATGTGATGGTGAATTAACTATGGGATATTCACATGAGTTATTAACAGGATAATGGTAATTCCAATTGGCAGACCTGGAATTTGGATTATATGGCAGGATAGTTTCATGATGTTTAGTGTGTCTAGAGACAAAAATTTCTTTATTATTAATATCATATAGAACACACCCTTTAACTCCAGGTTTGAATCCAAGAAAAATGCAAGTTCTACCTCTTGGATCAAGTTTAGTTCTATGTGATTGAATTGTGGAAGTATACACAAGAGAGCCAAAAACTTTTAATACATGTAGGTCTGGTAATTTTTGGTGCATGATGAAATAGGGTGATTTATTGTTAAGAATAGGACTAACTACTCTATTCATGATAAAAACAGCATGGGACACAGCATAACACCAAAACTGTTTGGGTAAATTTGAATGAAACAAAAGGGCTCTTCCTATGTTAAGGATTTGTTGGTGCTTTCTCTCCACTCTTCCATTTTGTTGTGGAGATTCAACACAACTGGTTTGGTGTATAATTCCCTTTGAGGCATAGAATTGAGGCATGAGAAACTCTTGACCATTGTCAGTCCTAATGACTTTAACTTTAGTGTTGTGTTGTGTGTGAATCAAATTTACAAATTTTATGATGTGTTGCCTAGTTTCAGATTTAGATTTCATCAAAGTGAGCCAGGTATATCTACTGTTATCATCAACAGCAGTAAGAAAATAAGAGAAACCATGAACAGATTTGATTGAGAGAGGACCCCAAATATCAAAATGTATCAAATCAAAAATGTGAACAGCTTTATTAGAACTTTTATGATAAGGTAAATTTTTATGTTTAGCTAAATGACATATATCACAAGTTCCTTTTGAATCAACAATAACAAAGGGAAATTCAGGTTGAAGTAAAAGCATTCTAGAATTAGAAAGATGGCCTAATCTGAAGTGCCACAAGGCTTGGTCAGGTATGGTAATGGCATGAGAAACATAAATACCAGGTGAAATGGTGGGCTTCTTATTTTGCATATTGAGATAATACAAGCCTTCAATGAATTCAGCTGAACCAATCATCTTCAGTGACTGAGGATCCTGAATCAAACATTGGGAATTAGTGAACTGAATAATACAAGGTAACTCAAGGCAAAGTTTTGATACTGAGATCAAGTTTAAAGAAAACTGAGGTACATACAAGACATTTCTGATAACAAATTGAGATGTAAGTCTAATGGTACCCATCTGATTAGCTATAGCAAAATTGCTATTAGGTAATCTTATGTTAATAGGTTTTATGTCTTGTAGAGATTCGAACCAATGAGTAAATCCACAAATGTGGTCACTTGCACCAGAATCTATAATCCAAGAACTCAGAATATAACTATTCAAACATAAAGAAGTAGTTGTGTTACCTGTATTGGCCACTGAATGTAATACTTTCACCTGATTCGATGTACTCGATTGTTGGCCTCTATGAGAGCTTTGAAGAATATTCATGAGCATTTGATATTGTTCATTGGTAAGTTGAGGTGAAGACTGAGCAACATCAGTAGAAATGTCTGTACTAGAAACATCAGTAGGCTGTTCCGTAGTCAGATTATGAGCATTGGAGTTAGAATTACGTTGCAAATGTGGTGGTACGCCATGTTTGCGATAACAGGTATCTATGGTATGACCTGACTTTCCACAGAAGGTACAAACTCGTTGCCCATGTTTCTTGAATGCAGGCTTTCTGCTATCAGCAGCATTGATCAATGCCTTTGGTTCATCATCAGATGAAATAAAGATATGTTGTTGTGTCGAAATTTGACGCTCATGTTGAATAACCATAGAGAAGATCTTGTTTAAAGGAGGTAATGGATCAAGAAGCAAGATTTGTGATTTTACCACATTATACTCTTCATTCAAACCAGTTAGGAAACGTATAACATGAAGCAAATTATGATTGTTCCTAGCACTACGCATAGCTTCACAAGAACAACGAATTCTACAAGAACAGTGAGGAATAGGCATGTACAA